GTCTTGGTAAATGTTATGACCCTGTACGTGTCTCCGAGTCATTTGGCCTTTGCAAAGCGACCCGTGATCGAGAATTTAACAGTTGAACGTGGTATATAAAGATGGATTCAATGCTGTCTCGGGTGAAAACCAGGGACTTGGCAGAGAATCGTTTTGGAAACATGAACGAAGCTCGTGTGTGTCTTTTGTTAGCCTAGCGTGGAAACGACCGAACCCCGGTTACCTAAGTGAAAGGTTTTTAACCATCAAAAATACCTATCACAACTATTCCGAGCTTGATTGACACGATATGAAAAAAAAATATGTATTTAATCAATTAATATATAAATAATATAATATAAGAGAAGTGCATTCATTTAAATAAATATTGTATAATTGATTCAAAGATGAGAAAGCTCATTGGCGATGCCGTATATTAAGAGTAAAATCTGCATTACGTTAGCAACCCCAGCTGACCAAACACGGCGTATATATCGCCACCTATCCACCTATAGTTGAAATCAGTGCATGAGAAGGAAATACATTTCTGGAAAGATTTGTCACGCATTGTCTTTTGTAATATTGCAATGACTGGCGTAAAACGGTTATAGCTACATACACGTCCCACAGATGCAACAACGTGGTTAATGGGTTGACAGGATTTCAATTGAAAATGTTAACGATTAGTACACATTTTTCTTTGCGAATATATGCTTCCATGTTTAGCGCTGCGAATAATTTGTTTTCTAAACCCAGTCAGGTCCAACTAAAAATAGCATGAAGTTGTCGTGATTAAAACCTACTGCTCAGCTTTCATAATCCCCGAAAGGCAACACACCGAAACGTTATTCAAAGAATACTCATTCATCATGATTTTGGTTCCTAGCATGCCAAGATAATGCCATCGTGAATCCGACTACCATGCCAATAACCGCGCACATATAAATAAGAAAATACATTCTATCCATGATTTTAGCCACTTCCTGCCACTCTCTCATAATGTTATCGTTGTGTTGATGTCGTGACTTCGTATACTGCACTCTATCGTCGGTGCTATTTTCCTCCTGTACGTCTGTTGCATGTACCTCGTCGTATTGGAAGCACAACTCAGTCGAATTGTTGGCGTGATTACAATTTTTACAACTCACAGGAGCCGTGGGGCTACTAGCTAATTTCTTACTAAGCCTCTTAGAAGAAGACATATGTTGTATTTGTTTCCCCTTTCTCCGTCTGTGGTGCATATCAAGGCAGATGATTGGCGCAAAGTAATAGAACGCCACTTTCTTCAACCAATTTGGTACGGGCTTACATTCACATGATTGGAAATGCATGTTGAGGGTCCACGCGGTAACAAGAGCTGACACTGCAACACCGCTGATTGAAGCAAAGAAATACTTTTCTGAAAAATGAAGCAAATTGAGCATTAAATAATTAGTTTTCCGAATTTACTTATTATACCAGATGTTTACTTTATATAGTATTATTTTATTTAATTGAATTCAAGGTATAGATACAACTTTACAAGAACAAACGACCTGTTTGTGAGAGTCTTATTGTAATGTTATAAAGTCCAACATTCGGTCACTTCTATTGTTGCATTCGTCTGCAAAATACAGGTATATAATGCCCCCACGAATATGTAATACGTACGAATATTTAATTTCTAAATGATTATATCAATTTTTAGTCAGCATTATATTTTTAATTTTTTCGAAAAATTCCCTACCCATGATCAATATATTAACATTATGAGTACCCTGAGTATTCCTCAGTCTGATATATTTTGTGAAAACAGTGAAAAAGGCTTTACTATATGTCAGTCAAACAAATAGTGGCATTACCGTTTAACATTGAATATATCACATAGCTAAATGTATGAACTTACGTAATAATGCAACGTTCTCTGAATTCGGCGGCATATGCTGCGTTATTATCTCCAAAAATACAAACTGTGCAAGTATGCTAGTGACACACAGAGTAATCCGCTCACCAGACTCTGACGGCAGGTAGAACGAGACCGCGACTAGTGCGCATGTCAGGAAAAACGGAAACATGATGTTGAGGATATAGAACAAAGAGCGCCTTTTCAGGTGAATCCGATACTTTACTTCGGCGAACGGTTCGTTGACGTAGTAGACCTGATCTGCATAACGCTTGAGTATTTCCATGGCGACAAGCTCCCATTCGCCGTTGCTCACAAAATTGTCCGTGTTGCTAGCTGGGTCAGGTTCAAGGTCTATCAGACTGATCGGATTGATCCAGGAGTTGAATGTCAAGGAACATACCTGTTCGTCGAAGGGAAAGTAGAGGGAGTCGATTTTGCACGTGGCGTCCATGACGTAAGGCTGTAACGCAGTGACCCGACCTTCGAAGTTCACGATGACGTCAGTGTCAAAATGGCGTTGAAATGTACGACTTACACTGAAATAATGAATATACAATAACAAACAGATAAGTTAAACTTGTACATCTCATCTGTAGAAGTGAAAAGGGCTCTGTCCAAATTTTTATTTAAATTATTTATTACAAGTAGGTTTAATAATTCGTTACACTATAATGCTTCCGTCAAGCATATACTACACCCGACTGGGCTCTTGATTCAGGGCACTTAAGGTTTATAGGAACGCGACAAACACAATGTTACGTTAATGGGACCGAGGCATGCATGCGTGTATGGGTGATGCAACAAAGACAATAACATTTTAACGAACATATACAAAACTGAAGTGCTTTATCGAGTTTCTTTGTTGGATTACAATGTGGACATAGTGACAAGGCCTGTTATACTATTATTTAACTATAGATTCAATTGCCCATACTGTAGTTCATTTTACAGGTATTGTAATAGTTTAATACATCTCACGATTTTGAACGCATTTATATACGGCTTTCTGTGCCAATAAGACAATGGCTTGTGAACTGTCTGAACGAACGCCAACATATATCCAGCGGAGTTACGCCAGCTAATTTTCAACGAAGGACACCCATCTTTTGCCGTAACTATTATTCCAAATGTGTGTATAAAACTTAAGATACAAGCAAATCACGAGGAGACATACTGCACTAAACTTTTAACTAATGGTTTGTGTTTATATTGGCAACGCTTATAAGCCAGATCGAGAACGCTTGCCAGAATAGCAATGTGAATTATTACAAATATTTTTAATTATTCGTTACGGTAACAGTAAGATCTTTTGGTTGGCTGCAGATCGATAATAATAGTTTATTATTATCGATAATAATAGTTTATTATTATCGATATGCTTTAAAAGTATATTGCTTCCGTAAAACAGATACTGTATTCGATAGGCTTTTTGGTTCACATAACATACTAAAATATATTGCATGAATAGATTATAGATCTATATTGTAAAAAGCACGATAAATCAGTATTATGTTAATGAGAAAGAAATTATTCTACAATTGAATGACCTTATTAGTAACAAACCTCCAATGCAATATTCTTATTCGTCGCGCCCTCTAGAGAGAGAGCACTTGTGTGACGGCACAATAACGCATATGTTTGTGTAGGCGTTTGCTATTTGAATTAAACCTCACATACCCTGTTTTATATTGATGAACTGTTTTCGGCCTTTCTTTTACCATTTTATGTATCTGAAGCGCTTCGTGACGATTCAATATATAAATATTGCATGCTTTGGAGCATGTTTACGATTATGATCCACATCGTTTCGTGATGGTTTAATGTACAAAGTAGCGTGGTTTATAATTGTAAACTCGCCAAAAACAGTTTTTACAAATTTCTCTTGACTATCAGAAATAAATAAATGTAAGTATATGAAACCATAGATATTATTGTCATTTAGGCAAGCTAAATATATAGACAGATAGTTAGTAGATTATACTGTATCTACTTTATTTTTTTTAACTATTTTAATGTTATACCTTATGTTTTGGACCGTATTGATATATAGACTTTCGTTTTAAAAGGTCAATAGGTTTTGCAGTGAAGGCAAATTTTTAACCTCACTAATTAGTCGATTTTACTACACTAAGCTGCGGAGAATATAAGATACCGGCAAATCATAAGGTAACATACTAAACAAAAATGTTAACCAATTATTTGCCATTACATTTATATTATCGACGCTTACAGAAAAGACTGAGAAAACTGGTCAGCAGAGTAAAAATAAGCTTACATTATTTTATATTATTCATTTACTGCTGTGATAGTAGACCCAATGATTCGCAATAATTCGACACCAATAAACTATAATGCTATCGCGAAACAGATACTACATCCGATAGCAATCTTGTCTTTTATGACTTGTTATTTTATGACCAGATTATTGGTTTATACTACACCAGGGTGATAAGACCGAGACAGACGTGCCTGGGTGATTCAACAAATAAATGCCTTTTAACGACAGCCAATAAGATTGTCATACAATCGCCCCCTGAGTACTTCTGCGACAGTCAAACTGACTATATAGGTGAAAGCGATGTCGCTGAGCTATAATCGACCATTGTGCTTGGCTTTGATGTCTATCATTATCTAGAGCATAGTAAAAAAAACGCCCAAAAACCCAATTTTGTATACAGATCGAAAAGATATCGACGCTTTGAACGACATTTGTGTCACTCAGTTGCGTCATATAAGTGCTTCGTCGCTAGATGGCGCGATTAGAAGAAATGGTGTAACACTGTCGAAGTGTAACTTTTGTCAAATTATTTGAATATGCAATTATTATTATTGAAATTACGTATGTACACACCTTTCCACTAATGTGATGTCTGGCTGCCATATGAGATGTATTGGAACTCTGATTTCTGTTGTATTGCCATACAGTGATGGGTCCCAACGAAGATAGTCATCTGTCCAAATCTATACAATAAAATGATAATGATTTTGTGTAATTAATTGTTGAGGAATGAAACTGTTAACTACGATACGATATAAGCTTATACAAATTACAATCGTGTATAATGAATTGAATCAGTGATTTTGTTAGTGTGAAACTATGTTACTATACTCAATAGTTCATGCTTCTGTACCTGACTTAACCAACACTTTATAGTGATTATTTGGTTTCGTTCGTCCTGTAATAAATCAAAAGAGTAGTCACTTATTTATATCATCACCAAACAGTCTTGCGATTCGCAGTCGACACCGAGTGTAATTCATGTACCAACTTTAATAACCTGAGTAATCTATTCAAACCATTTATTTTAACATTGTCTTTACTAAACACTGTATACATTTATTTTTTTATATGGCATTGATAACATAACGAAAATTACAAAAATAATAATAATGATAAATAAATTTTGAAGGTGTGATGATTGGGCGAAAAGGAAATCAGATAATAGCTTAGAGTCTGATTTTCTGTGAAGATTTTTTAAACACTGTATACATTTATTTTTTTATATTACTTTGATAACATCACGAAAATTATAAAAAATATTAATAATGATAAATAAATTTTGAAGGTGTGATGAATGGACGAAAAGGAAATCAGATAATAGCTTAGAGTCTGATTTTCTGTGAACATTTTTTTATAAATTTTATTTGTATTATTCATTAAAAAACAAGATAACATTTAACCTTAGGGAATTCATTTGGACGACAAAACAATCATACATAAATAGTAATAACAAATAATATAAGTATATAATAGGCAATTGCAGTTTTTTATATTTTGAACAGATAACTGTAGTCGTGGAGCCCCACAACTCTGTTACGACTCACCAGGACTAAACGTGTTAAGATGAGATGAGATCGGAGCGTGTCCATTCAAGCAATGTGTATTATATCATACACACTGATATTGCATCATACAAACAAGTATTGTATGATTTATACCGATAATATACCTTAATTTGTGGTAATAACACAGGAATTCAATGGTAGCATATTATGAAATATATTTTTGAGTGCATCAGAATTGACTTGCAGGCTTGTAAATCCGTATAATGTCGACACTGAAAATGTGCAACAAAATTACCTAATCAGTGAAAATGAAAAATGCATCTCACACAAATTGAATTTTGTTTTATTTATGTGATATCGGTGACCCTTTTACAGACAATTTCCTTCGAGGAAAAACACAATATTTGCAGGAAATCCTTAACACCATCCACATATCGTTGTCAAGATGTCTACTATTAAACACACAAAACCAAGGCAGATATTACATATACATAATACATGGAGCGTAACAACTAATATCGGATATGATGTTTGACTACGGTATTTAAACGAAAATCCCTCGGGTATAATTAATTTTACTGACCATCTTAAATTATACGATAACATATTTTTATTATTGTATAATTTTAAAACTCACTAATGTGTAACAAGAAGCTACTTAATAGTGAACACCTTTACAAATAATAGCGTATGAGTTCAGTTGAAACAGTACAACTTAATCTAAAAAAAGAACTATTGTGCGTTGAAGAAGACAAGAATACACGCAGAAATAATGCATAATTAAGGTTGGCAACATCAAAAATGAAGTAGTAAAATTTGTCATCCTCCGTGCGTAAAAAAAAAACATTGGTCATTTGGAACGCGCCACACGACGATTGTGGGGCTTAGATAAAAAAATCAACATAATAGCCTTGTATGGATTTAGTATTTCACACTCTCTAAAGTCCGTGATTAAGACGTCTTACTGTAGTTATAATTACTACATTTTGCATCTTTCACTCAGACAGTACCCACGCATCGACCTCTGCTACGCGTCAGTCGATATTTCAGCTGTACTGCTTTCGTGCATACTTTGAGGTATTCTCGTAATAACCTTATATTATTACAATATGTGCTCAGATATTGTGTATATCGTAACACCTGTGCCCAGTACTTGTTTATTAAGAATCAACATTCAGTCGTCATACATTTTCGTATGGTGCGTAATTCATAATAAATTTGATGAAAGTATGAATTAAGAATTACTTATTACTATTCTTTTATAAAGTCATAATGATGTACATGGAATACTGACAGGTTTTGGATTAATTTCTTGATATTAGTGCAAAACTGATCTACCGGACATATGTTTTATAATCCAGTATTGCAATCTAACCATTCTAAGCTACAATAGACATTTCCCAACTCGATATTATTGATAATGAACGCACATACTATCATGCTTTTGTCTACCCCAGAAACGTGATGAATACATCTAGAATGTTAATGGGTTTATCTGTATTATCTGTAATTTAATAATCATGTCAACACAGCTGTATTGCTGGAGTTGTAAGTACAATTATTAATTACGAAATGCGCCAGTTTATGCTGTACGATTTTTAGAATCATTGTATAATGTTTTCACATTTTAATGGGTGTATGTCCATTGCATGAGGTGTAATAGACGCGATCCGCACTCAGTCTTTAGCATTCAGCAGACCTTTTCATCTTATTCCCCACTGTTTTATGGCAAGTTGATGATATATGAAAAAGACCTTGGATGCAATCACTTGCCACATTTGTTTTCTTGCATGTAAGATCTACGATATTGTTGACGAAGTAGTGTCACTGAAGCCCCTCCCTTTTGAGTCAACAATATATTCACGTATATATTTGTCGTTCAAACTGTGAAGCAGCTCACTTCAAATATAATTCATTTGTGAATTGTAATATGCAATGTTAAGTGCCGTTTTCAATATATAAGCGTAAAAACAACGCAATTTTAGTGAATTACAAATGCGTAGAGAGCTGGTGATGAATTGCTGAAAACAATTTAATAATGTGTTTATTTTGGATATTTCATATGTATTGCAGTAACTTATTACATTAACCTATTAAGTAAAAATATCCATTCTATACACAGTTAATATAATAACTGTGGGTGTGTCCTCACCGATAATAAACATATTACTTATGCACTGGTTCATACAATTGCATCCCCGAGATCTAATCATATCAATCAATCATAATTCACCTAAATAGAATATTAATGAAAACACTGGACTAATTAGATTTTAGATCGCCCTATGCTTCAACGGCGAACCCAACGAGTGAGTTACTCGACATCGTCTAACAAAATCACTACACTATCACCTAGTAATATACAGCACAATTTGCGACATCGCAATATTCTACGAGAGCAAAGGGACTAGTAGCCTAAAGTATTTCTCTTGTATTTCCCACATGATGAATATACCGAGTTAATGATGATGATACTCTGTGATTTATATTCGGGTATCGTATCGGTCTTGCATGATTTAATTCGCGTATATTGTTCATTCAGTGATTGATTTTATATCCTGGATCTTCTTCAAGTAGTAGCCTAATAAAAATGAATATATCTGGGATGTATACATATATCAGAAATTCAATTCAATATTACTTTTGGAAAAATCGGGGGTGGGTGGTCACTATATTGTTGTAACGGGTTTAACACACAGAAAAGTGTTACTGGTTTAAAAATTACCCTAATATAACTGCATATGTAAATTAGTAAATAAAGTATACTTTATTTTCAGCTTTAAATATGCTTCGCTTTTTCCTATAGTCTGTTATAGTCAATATAGCGTAGAGCGGCACGAACACACAGTATGGTTGAAACAATAATAAATCAGCGAGATTTATGACAGAAATATGTAAAATAGCATGCATTCATCGTCATTGTCATCATAAACTATCAATTCTGATTTCTAATGTCGTTCTAATTCGTGCCTCTTTATATAAAATAACACTGATGTTTTAACATTTGATAATGTGTTAATATCCATTAAATATCTGTTCAAATGTTTTTAGATTAAATTTTGATTTATTACACATTAACTCATGTATTCATTTCGTTTTTTGTCGAATGTTGAAACAGTCATCAATTTCGTAATTTCGAGGCGTGTATCCGAGTATGTTAGCGCTTCATTTGATCACAGTTAACCGAGATTTTGCCCTCTTGCTATTATTGCGTATATTAATATATGTATGAGTTCACACACATTTCATTAATGTTCGAGAAATGCACTTCATGGGACTTGCACTCCTCGAGAGAAGTCACCATGAGGATAAAGATAGGAAAACTATCATTTACTACACTACACCACACCACACCACGCTGCACAACACTACACTACACTACACATAGTCACTGTTACGAGAATTAGAAATAATGATATATGTAAATAAGTAAATATGTCCTTCGGCTAATCTAAAACTACCAGAAACTACCAGATTTGTATTTAACTAATCAAATAATATATTGTCAAATCAACAAACAGTCTACTTAGAGGATTGGAAGATTGTTAGTTGATGACCAATTGGATTACATTGTATTGACGTATTTACAACTATTAAAGCCGTAGTGTATAAATAAATGTTGTGTTATATATAGATTTTATTTTGGGAATACATTTGTGCAGCTGTGTTTTATTGGGACAGTTATTTCAGTGCATAATTTTGAAATGAATATAAGCAATAACTTATTGAAGGTGACAATGAATCGCCATATGTGCTTTGCATATTTTTAAATTTTAAACAATGCGACTGCATGTATAAATGTTATTCCAAATTAAAAGAGCTTTACTTTATAAAAGCAAAAATTCTGAAATAAAATATACAAATTAAACATTTTTATTTTGGCATAAGTTCATTTTCATATTAATTCCGAAACATGTATTACGTGCGTTTTGGGTTTGTAAATATGGCAATAACTTCACTTACTTCTGTTTAGGCAATCAAACATTCCAGGCGGATATGGGTAATTTATATAAACTGTTTTTATGCCAACGTCATGTTATTCTAGGTTACTCTGAAATCGTAGACCGTACGTGCAAGAAAATTTCCAATTAACACCATTCAATATTTAGCTCTTCCCCAAATAGTTGCCTATCAGTTTTCAAGAAATTGACTTATTAAGTGATCGTAAGACGATCTTACAAACTTACGTATCAGTCTGACTGTATAAGCGAAGAAGTTCCAATTTCGTGCGAGTTTTATGTGGGCGTCAGTCAAATGTACATCTAACCAACACACCCCATCAAGTTTATTCGCAGACTCTTTCAATTGATCTTGATCAAGTTATCTTGATCGTAATTCGCTGGAATCAAGTTGGGACGAGAATGCACTCTTACTAATTCTCATTTACAGAACCACTTTTGTTCATTGTATCATCATCAATGCACAGACGTCCGCTATAGTCTAATATATTATGAATCGTGATGTTAATTCAAATGTATTTTACCTCAAATACCCATCATTCCACTTGAACTATTATAATGATTCAGTATCAGTCAAATCAAGCCAGCACACAGACACTTAAAATGATAATTCATTTGCACTGTATAATATTATTATTCATGCCAGTCAATCTATATGCATGATCAATTGAAGAAGAAGTTATAATAATAGTGAAGCCAATCACAAATCCCTCAATATAGGTATATGACTGCTTAATTGTTTACCCATAACATTTCAACACTTCTGCATTTGATTTTAATTAATGTTGTTCAATTAAAAATGTTTGCATGATTTTTTCAATTTCTTGATTTCTTCGCAGCAATATACTAAAATGAATCACAATTACCAATTCGACTATAAATAGCACACTGTATGTTAATTTTAATTAACATTTTGATTAACTAATATTTTGCATGAACATTTGCATAAAAAAATGGTAACAGTCTTCCTGTATACTTCCATATACTGTACTGTCATTTTTCCACTTGTTTCAGTTATTATGTATTTACAATATGATTTATTTTTGTTTCGGCCCATCCCCTTCCCGACGTTACTCAAATGATCGGTATGATAGAAAGTTAGAAAAAAAACAGATAATTTGCATACAAGCAGCATCTCTTTCCGATTAATATCGATTATGGGGCGGAGTGTTAAAGCAGTGTCAACTGTGACTCACTAATTAACAATCCCTGCATGTTCATCGTAGTGTCGACTGCATGCCCCTGGGATACTTGCAATACTTATTTTTCACTTAGCAAGTCAACATGTAATATCGTATAAAAAGAGTCATTTAGTTTAGTATTTGTAGCCCTTTAAAAAGTGGAATAACTAACAATCATAAGTACTAATTAACAATCGTGATGATATATGACGTCATTTACAACAAACTATATTATTGATATATTTAGCTGATGTCCAGTGAGAGACAGGTCGTTGTCAAGTATTTCTACGGTAGATGCCATGCAACAATTAATAAATAAAATGTAGATAAAAAGATCACTGTATTTCCGTTCGTTATTATATGCTTTCATTTCGTCATTACATACTGTCATTCGACCATGACTTACTGTCACTTGGTAACAAATGCTGTGTTACCATGTGTTTATACATGACGTATTCGTTATATTAGCGCATGATGTAATTTGTTAATATATGATGTCGCTCATTCGTATATGATGTCATTTGACTAGTATGTGCTGCCATTCGCACCCCACATACCGTCAATCAAAAAGTGCAACCCGTTAACATGCAACCCAGTTGTACAGGTTGTAATTTCAGCAAGTAAATAATAATAATTCAGTCATCACTCGACTGGTATTTGTTATTATGTGCTATCTATACACTGATATTAATGTCCTTTCTTATGTTGTTAATCTGTCTGCCAGTTAAATGATTTGACACTGTGAGTTTTGTTATGGAGAAGATATAATACCATGGTCATGTGATCACAAAATAAGCTTAGGTGCGAATCGTTCTAATTTGTTTTGCAAGTGTCGGCTGCTCAATTAGTGTTCCTTTGTTCTCCGTTGTCGCGCCTACTGTTCCCTGGGTCTATGTAATCACGAATGTCGAGAGAGTTAACTCAATGGCGGCAGAATAACAAATGTCAAAAAAAACCACAATTCTCGCAAAGCGCAGTTTCTGGCACATCCCGAAACATATATACATACCACTTCGATCATCTGCACCGGCGTCATTCTGTGTTTGACAATGGTGATTGTAGTGTCATTTTCTACTGGTCGAATAAACTTCGGATACGCGGTCAAAAGGTCCGACATCAACCTTGCAGAGGAGTTAGAGGCGATCGAAAAATCTGTAATAAGAAATAATAACGTAGTAAGTAAGTGAGTGAAGTCAAACATGTTTTTGATCTGGTAAATATAATTACGTGTCAATAACACACAAATTCAAGTCAATGTGTTATTTGTTTATAAAATGGTGGTGAAATCTAGTAATGATTTGTGTGTTACTAGCAATAATATAGATTTTCTTTATATATTTTATAAATTTGAGGAAAATCATTAAATTGAATTTTTCGTCTATAAAGTCCAAACTGGCTTTAAACAGAACATATTCAGATTTCGTGTCGTGTCGTGAGCGGTCATTACGTGGTCCCGGTGGGTTATGTACAATTTAGATTTGTTGAACACGTTTAACTCGTTATAAAGCTATGCCACTTTGGGAATAATAGGTTCAACAGACTATTAGTTCTACAGAGCATTATTCACTGATATACGTACACACATAATTCTTTATACACAAAAGGTGACCTTGAGTACGCATATAGAATGGGAAACAGATGACGGAATTCTATATTTTATACTGTTGACAAGCACGGTATCGGCTGACATTCTGTTTCGTGAATATCTTAATTTTACCGTTTTTGTCCTGGTATAAGTCGGTAATTCGTTACCGTGTATTTTGTTTTGCATTGTGAGCTTACAAGACGCTGACCACAATTTCGGCGTTTGTAGTCATAAACACACTTAAACTTGTGCTATTGCCTATACTAATTGTAAAGTTAAGCCATGACCGTACATCTAAAACCATACCCCAGTTTAAAACCTGCTGGAAGCAACCTCAGAAAAGTTGATCACAGAACTGATGTATATACGAATCAACTCAACCTGGGGTTTTTCACGGCCACCGGATAATCGCTTGTAGGCGTTATATGCTACATATGACCTGTGTCATAGCAAACTGTCTTTCAAAAGTTTTAATTAATAAAAAAAAACGAATTATGCATATTATAAAAACAAACGTGTGGTCGACATCCCAATAACAATGGCATTGCTTCTATGATATTTGTATTTTCCTTTCCATAAATTACTCGTCAAATCCTGCATTAGTAACAGTCACACGGACATAAATGTTTTAAAATTTAGGCTGCTACCCAAAATACTGCTGACTGACTGGTTAGGTGATCAATATTTTTAATGGTATATGATTACAATACTAGTAAGTAGCAGAGCGCGCAGGGAATGAAATCTTCGTAATATTGTCGGGAGGGGGGAGGGGCTACGTCACAGAGCGTTCCATGTTGCTGAGACGCGCGCCACTGTACCATTTATTTCAGTGGGCCCCGCGCAAGCTGCTGTTCGAAGAGCCGGTAAAATTAGCTGTCAAGGAAACAGCACAAACTCAACTTTGAAGTAAAGCTGAGTAACCAAAATGATGTTGCACGTATAGGGATTAATTTTATGATATCCAGGGGAGTCTCAAAAACTAATCCAAAGTACAGTTTCGGCTTTTGTTTTCACCGTGATGGTTGCCAGGCGTTGAAAATGTCGGGATATCTACCCCGGAGAATTGTCCATCATCATACTGCTACAGTCTGTTTTATGGACCCATCCGACATGCGTGCAAAGAACTGTGGAAAAATCAAATAATCGTACATTGGTTTAAAGCTTATTTTGATAAATTTATAACGTTATTAGGTCATAACATTCAACTTTTCAGTGTTTGTTTTTTTGTTTCAGTGTGATTCTAATTTTCCTTTTAAAATTACTTTCTCGTGAGACTGCGATTACGCCGGACATGTCTCTGAAAAATGTTCAATGGTATCTAATGCTATTTGGTTAATTTTCACGTGGAATTTTAAGAACAATAATTGTGAGTTTTTTAGTTTGACATTTATCTCAGCCATTCACCGGTTCACAAATACCAGGAGTCAGTGCACACGATTAAATCTTGTATTTAAAAATAGTCAGCAAGTTTACAAGAGGTATAACATCATTTGCAGGGGTTTTAAATATGTTAAATATATAAATTCATTGAAATTTATTAATTTAAAGATAATTTTTTTTTATATTTTTAAATAAGGTTTTTCAGATCCATATACTACTAGTATATTATTAAATAATTATATCGATTTATCATTGTTTTATTCATTTATTCATCTATATATTATTTAATGTATTGTTTCCTTTGTCTAGTTTTGTTCTAATAACATGCCGTATTAGATTGGCCATCGTGTATAAATCGCTGTATCGTCAGCGTTCATATCAGGTAAGCACTCTTCACGATTATAGTTCGACTTTTCACCGTGACCAAACCGCAGCCACTGCACATCGATAAACACGCATAAGATACCCTAGTCAACATAATTTAAATTAATTGTTAAAAATATTACTAGAACCATGATTAATTGACTTACTAAGTATTACATATACGATGGGGAATTCACCTCAGATAAATGTTATCTGCACCGTGTTATCTGTATCTATACACTGTATACAGTGGGCTGTCCACACGGTGTCATATTGACGCGATGTTCAGTTTTTCACGCAATTAATATACTGAACTACGAGGCGAATTATTTACTAAGAACAGTACGCATCGTATTTATATTAAGTAATATTTGTCAAAAACTGTACTTACCTAACAAGAAATGTGATACATGTAGAAATATAAGAAGTTTTCTGAATACGAATACACGCATCATGCTTGAGTTATACTTGCAGCTATGTTTCCCGGCGGTGTAAGCTGCAAACTGGTTTTGCACGAGTTACGTTTTGAAGGGGACGAGCACTACAAGTGGATATCACAGCAGATTATAACGTTTGCCGTCGACACATCACACGGAAAGATCAGCATACACAAGTGCTGACAATGTGCCGTGGTAGTTCCAGCTTTGCGACTCCATCATCAACTTCATATAACCTGCACGGCGTGGCAACCATTTCAAAATAGCATTACTCCATACCTGCAAAAAAAAAACCCTGAAACATTGTAATGTGTAGGCGCACTCGCATTTATAACACTGAGCCAAAATAGCTTCGACTGACTGCATTTGTGCATATTAGCATACAAATTAGATGACGTCATTGGAATCCGTGTTGGGATCAGGATGGTTTAATTGTTACGGTAGCACACTATTAATCATGCATACCATCGAATTATTGATGCCAAGTGTTTCGTCTGTAACAAGTATTCCTTAGGGTATGCTTTTGAAAACTTAGAGCAGACAGGTAATCAACGCGGGATGTTTTAAGACAATATGAGTGCGTTTCAACTGATACACAAATAAATATCACACGAAATGTTGTTGGAATACCGGGGTCACACATTATAGAACAGTGTGTGTATCTTACAAAACTCCCGTGGTGATTAATGTAGTAATCGTCCCTCTGTAGAGCGGTAACTACAGTTCACCAACCACGTGCTGCATGCAAAACAACGCGACTGTTTTTTAAATAGTCCATTACAAAGGCATTTAACAAAAATGAATCATGCTTTCATGTTGTATACGTTGGTTTGTTTTGCCAAGTTTATTATAAACATAATTAACGTTGGACGGTTATACTGTAAAAAAAATCGTATATGAACGATGAAAATTAAATAATCATATCAAAACTAGCCAGCTATATAAATAGTTCAATATATTAAATTAAGCGTTCTATACACGTATTGGCAAGTGCGTTTCAAACAGTCACTTGAATGGAGGCAGTCGCAATAATAATAAAATGAGGTTGATACGAGAATACCTCGAAGTATGTACGAAGACAGTACAGCGTACTGTCTGAGTGCATACTTGTAATGCATCCTCGTAATAACCTTATTACACATCTTTTCCTTTTAAAGATACATCATGGGAATACCGAAATCCAAAAAAAATAGAACAGAATCCGCGATCTTCTTTGTGTTGAATCTGGTTGTTTTTATTATTGTTAGAGGACGCTTACGCGCGTAATCATTCCATATTTAGAATTCGCATTACCTTATATAACGCAAACTTACGGCACGCTGTAACTTATGGCGTTACCGTGACAGATGTATAATAATAATAAATAACAATGTGTTACTATTTTTCATATTGTGACTTTTTAATGTCACAACAGGAGGAGTGTTTGATGCCTCACAAAATAACACAAGACTGCTAGGTCCAAGAGACGTAGAGTACTGTTAACAAAACAGAGGACTGACCATCATGAACCACTGACGTCTCAGCGGTAGTACCAGGTGTCTCGAATGAGTAAGCATCCCATGCTGACTAGCCACACGCATCATGATTTGTCTCGTATTGTAAACAATCACATGAATCCAATACATCATAAGTGATCTATATGTAGTCGTAATTAGGAATTTTGTCACGCATAAATTGCTTGACAGACAAGTCATATTTTGTAATTATCTGTTCATGATGAATTGATGAGAAAAACATGATGATGTTTGGTTGATACTATTTCCTCTACTCAATCCCCGTGCTCAATTAAAACCACGCTTACTCGAATTCCACACAGAAATATTGTTTCGTTGCATGTCCAGATAGCTGGTATACCCGAACACCAGAACTCCAATCTTTTGTATAACCGTACCTTATCATAACTCGTGATTTGAGAGCCCGTATAACGCAGTATTACACAACTCTACTCAACCTAACAAACCAGCTTCGATCACATCACACGAAAAATTATTCAGTCCTACAATCTATATCAATGGATGTATTCGCCGTATTCTCACGTAGCATGCTCCTAACGATTCACCAAAACACCATGTGTTATCTAAAGTCTCCGTACCAAACTTGAATCGTGTGATAATATTTCTACACACTACAGTATCATCCCGTCGTTTTATTTGAAAAAATTTCATCAACAAGACACATGCAACGGTAATTGTCTTTTAATATAATTATTTTATACCTATTATCATATCCATTTTAAATACAATTAAAAGGAGTTTTAAATTGCAGTAGGTATCAAGTTTCTACAAATAATATTCACTTGAAAAATAATAAGCAAATATTTGACAGGGTACGCCATGTTATAACGAGTGTCATTGTAATTCACTGCTTTACGTTTGACTGCTCCGTCAATGGTGTTTTTGTTAGTCGTACCACGACATAGATTCTCCGTAGATCTCAAAATTATATTCCACGCTATCGTTGTACACACAACGTGAGGTATCTGTTAGATTACTCCGTGTTTCATCGTGTAATTGCTAAACTATTCATGTCACAATCTATCAAAACATTCAGTGAGTTTATAGCGTTATCTTTTATTTTCATATTACTGTATTCCCTGTACAGTTACGTGACAAACCATCAAAACACCTGAGCGAACATGACTAGCATGCGTTCGGAAACTGACAGAAAAACCAGAAACATTGATTAAGTTATTCTGTTTTCTACTAATGTTGTTAATATTTGGTTAGCATCCAAACAACTCACATACCGCACGATTCAGCATTGTTTTTGTTAATCTTGTAGTAAGTGTTTATTTGCACCGATATGTGAATATATACAAATATTTATAATAGAGTATAATCAAATTACGAATTGAGTAATTCTGATTGAGAATTTAAATGAGAAAAGTTATAATTTGGATGTATTTAAAGACTTATGTTCATGTTTAGGCAACTCCATTTCAATAACAAGAGAGCATAACTCAATGATGTTTGTAGAAAATCCGAGGATGAGAAGTTTCAGGGTTCACTTACAGGCACTTTAGTATTGAATGATGTGTTCCTTCAGGCTACTGACATGCTAAACGTTGTTAATTAAAAGCAACAACTAAAAGTTGTTAGCATCGTAACTAGGTATTGCTGTAGTGACGTATTTCGTAGTGAAGCGTCACATAGAATCTAGGCTTCAGAATGGAATATACAATCACCGTATGTAGATGTCAGTGGAATAGTCTTTAACAAGTCGCATACATTTTAGGTTATAGATTGCTGTAATTCGAGAACCAGCACATACATTTAAAACAGAAATAGTACAACATTAAATAAATAGTCA